GGAGCATGTTTGTTCACAAAATAAATGAAACTATTATGAAAATAGTTCCAAGCGGAGTTCACGTCATCAGTTAACAGAATACGATGCCAGTCACAGTGAGACAGATCCCAGAGGAATGACTGTTCACAAAAATGTTTCAGATCCCTTTTTTGAATTAATCGGGGCTTAGAAGGTGGAAGTTTAATATCTCTCAAAGCCACTGTCACACAATGATCACTCAAGATATTGGCAAATACACCTGTACCAGGGAATTTGTGAGGCATATTAGTTAGAAATAGGTCTAAGATGGAAGATTTTTCAGGACGGTTTTTATTTAATCTAGTGGGAGAGTTGATCAATTGGGTAAGATTGAGAGACAGGCAACATTCCTTGAATTTATCACAGAGGGGGGTCGACTTACCACAATTAATGTTGAGGTCTCCTGCCAAAAGGATCTCTTTGAATTTTAAATGACCAAGAAATTTCATCAGGGCGGACAGAGCCTCAGGTGTTGCTGAGGGTGGACGGTAACAACAGACTACAGATAAGATCTGGCCACCATTCAAGGTGATATTTACAGCTAAGGCTTCAAACTGGTTTGGAATTGTTTTAGAAGACACGGGACTAGCAACCAAAGAATCTCTGATGTAAACAACGACTCCTCCCCCCTTTTTTGATGATCACAGCGGTAGATGTTAAATCCATTGATTGCCAGGTCATTATTGAGTACAGATTAGTTGAGCCAGGTTTCAGAGATGAAGATTATGTCTGCCCCAGAAGAACTGACCAGAATTTTCAAGGCATCAAGTTTTCTCAGAAGGCTAAGTGCGTTTACATGCAGAAAATGAAGACCAGACATGTTCTTAAAGTCATTTGGTGTCATATAAACAGTGGGGGGTCCAGGATTGGGTTGAATCCCTGAGAGCAGTAATAACATTATTATCAGACATTTTCTTGAGTTTTTTGTGACTGATGTGTAATTACAGGAGTTAACAGTGTGACAATTAGCCCCCATAATCGAATAATGAGAAACATTAATGAAGACGCGATCATTCCGAACCCAAAAACAGTGAAAGTTGCAGTGATGGGCAGATTCAGGTGTATTAACAAGATTCAGTGACTCCAGATAATCTGAGAACTGAAAATAGTGACAGTAATATGAATGATGCAGAAAAGTCTCAGACCATAAAATGTCACAATTCAAATGGGCAAACAAACCCGACGAGGTGGCCCAACTGCAGTTTGAATTGGGCTAAGGGGGGCTCCGGCCCCCCAGTGAAGACGGATGGATGGATGGATGGATGGATGGTTGGATGGATGGATGGATGGATGCTCCCATGGGAAACAGAAGCTGGGTCCAGAATCAACAGGCCAAAACAGAAACAGATAATTCGCAGCAAATAGCAGAACGAGCTGCCAGAAAATCATCCTGAAGTGAAAGGCATGATCCTAGCTCGTTTCAGGTCAACAGGGGCCAACAGCGTGATCCGGAATAAAATTAATTATTATCCAGGTGAGTTTGGATGGAGGCCTGCAGCAACTCCGATACAAACTCCGAACTTCTATCGAGCATCACGCAGCCCTGCTCCTTCATGCTGCTCCTCCGCTTCTCAGCACAACACCTCCACACCCGACAGCATGAGAGGCACCCCCAGTGAAAAACGAGACTGACCGGAGAGGCGGAGGCTGAAGTCGACACTGGTCCGGTCCGGTTCTGCTCCAGTCCGGCTCCGGCGCTCCACAGCACGAGAAACGGAGAGGCTGAAGTTGTCCCTGGCCCGGTTCTGCTCCGGTCCGGTGGCACTTCAAAGCACCGGAGCATCTCCTCCAGGCGAAAACAGCAATTCCACGGAGGTGGACAGTCCTTTGTGAAAAGTAACGGGCTGCTCACTGAAGCTGAGACCGGCTCTGTTGAAGACAAAAGTCCCCCACAGCCAACTCTGTTCGGTTCTGGTCCAGTTCGAGGGTCACAGGTACACTTCCCCCACACCTATGTAGACACCACGAGGGCCAGTCCAGCAGAAAACCAGCAAAATACCACCCGGCGATTTTTGTCGGAACCAGGTAGAACCACAAAGGTCCAGATGAAAGATCGTTGAGGTCCAGAGAGACAGAAAAAACACCGGACCTTTGTGCGACGACTCCCCAGCTCGAGGGGTCACCTGGCCGGCAGGGTGCGCTCAGAGTGACCGGTGGGGTGGGAGCAGCCGATCTTGGACCAAAATATATTTTTGGACGGTCCTGTCTGGCTCTCTGAGTCACTGAACACTGAATTCGGTTGGAAGGGGGACCAACTTTAGTCCGGTTCGAAAAAACGGGTCAGTTTGATGATAAAAGACTGCAGAGAAGCCGGAGGGAGCTGCCGTCCATCAGCTCGCCGGAAGTGAAGTGATTCTGGATACAAGCAGCTGAAACGAGCCTTCTCCATATGTGGCTGGATTTAGAGATAAGGTTGAGACTCGTCATCCAGGGGGAGCTCGGAATAGAGCCACTGCTCCTCCACATTGAAAGGAGTCGGTTGAGGTGGCTCTCTTTGGAGGTTTTCCAGGCATGCCCCACTGGGAGAAGATCCCAGGTCAGACCTTGCTGGAAGGATTAAGTATCTTCTCTAGTATGGAAACGCCTTGGGATGCCCCGGGAGGATGGATGGATGGATGATCAGGCTTTTCAATGTTAATTTATAAAAAGCAGAACAGCAGAGAAGTAATATTCTGAGCTATAAACACAATTACTTAGTTTGTTAACGCTTGTGTTTTTGCTGACACTACATTTACATTAAATTTAAAAGAATCAATACATCTGATTAAATGAATAGCTTAGATCTTCAATAGCATCAAAAACACAAATTTGATAAATAATTAGTTTTAAATCTGTTGTAACTGCAGGAAAAATCTGAACCACTGACTTTAAACAAAGTGACAGTCAATATGTAAATTTGTATTTTCTCAGTCTCCTTAAATATACCTGTGCAATATTAACAAATTAAAACTATATTATTAGGTATTATGTTGTTATACCTTTCATTACTAGGCAATATGTGATATCATTTAAACAGCAAAGGTGCATTTTTTGTGTTTAAATAAAACCAAACAATATGATTCATTTTTGAAAATGTTATAAGAATATTGTGGTGAACTATTTTTTGCTAAAACCTAACAGTGTAAGAATCTCATACCAGCCCAGTTAGGACCCCTTCACAATGTTGGATAAATGTTGCTTTTTATTTTAAAGTAAAACTGAAACTTCTTTGACTGTTTCATAATTTGAAACAAGTACAGAAAAAAGGTAGAACCAATCACTGAATCGCTGTAGTGGATTGAATTTAAGGAAGTGCAATGAAGCTTTTACTTTTTAATTCTAGCTAAATGGTAAATAAATGGACTGTACTTATGTAGCGCCTTACCAAGACACTCAAAGCGCTTTACACTACAATCTGTGCCCTCATTTACCCATTCATACAACACTCTACTAGATCTCTACAAAGCTAATTGAACAAATCATTCTAAAAAGACTAATATGTGCTTTATCACATTCATACACTGATGGGACACACATCGAAGGCAACGAGGGGTTCAGTGTCTTGCCCAGGAACACTTGGGCATGTGACTGCTGCTGGATTCAAACCCCCAACTCTGCCCAGTTTAGTTATCACTTCCATAAACATATATTTAATGCAAGGTATGGTATATTGAAAAAGAAGTGGTCTGGTGATATTAGCTTCTTAAAAACTACAATCACATAATTCAACATCACTGAAATACTTATGGTTAGAGAAGTATGAAGTGAAATGAATAGTCCAGAAAATGAATATTGATGATATTACTTTTAATTTCTTGTGTATTATAACTGATAGTGATCATTTATCAACTAGCTCCTCACCTCACTAATGCCTGTCAGCAGCAATCATGATAGTATAAATAAGCCAGATTAATAAATGACCAATAATAATTTGTTGTGCATTTAATTAAATTGTGTGATTAAGAAGTGTTCAGTCTGAACGAAAATGAGGATGTCTTTAGGAAATTATGCTTCTCCTGCACACAAGACTTATTCCTCTGTTACATGATAATAATAGAAAAGTATTTACGTCACTCTTGAGTTTAAAGAAAAATCCTCGACTGGAAAGATTTGGAAAACTGATGAGTTAAAAAGTAATTTCAAGTTATGTAAATCATTTGCAACCCTTTCTACTCTTAAACAGAATGGCTCGAGATACACAACACAACCACTGTTTTTGATACATTATACAAATGATAGACAGACTCAGCGTTTGTAACAATTTTACCAACATTGACCAAACTAGGCCTTGACAAAGTGGTCATTTTCATTCATAGGGAACAACGCTCTTCTTTGTAAACAAGTATCTTCGCCAAATCTACTAACCAAGCACTGACAAGGAACCTTAACAATAATAAGCGGACTTTTAAACACGTATTCAGCACTAATCCAAAAAAAATGTTCACTTGTGACAACAGCTGCTAATTCACAAAACAAAAAGAGGCATTTTCTGTCAAGAAAGCGATGCTAGTTTAGCTTAACCTTTGTTGCTGTGTGCAGTCGGTCGACGAGAAAACCAAGCTAACGTCAACTTTGCTGCTCCATACCGTCAATCTAGCACCCAATGACCCAATTTAGGTACAAGCTGCAGTGATTAAAAAAAAAAGACACAGTAATACACTTTCCAACAAACCCAAATGAGCATGTCAAGCCGTCAACAGGAGGGCTAGCTTTTCGGTGTTCGCTCACAATAGCATCCTTGGATTTGACCGCAGCTGAATAAAGTTAGCTTACCAATAGCTGCAGCTAGCCGGAGAGGTTGGGGAAAATATAAGTGTTTGCGTGATAATTTTGCCACTACATGGTTACAAATCGAAATGAAGCCGTCACCGAGATGAGACAAATACATGCACAAGAAGACAGGCGCAGAATTAGCTGTTTTTAAGTCATAATGAAGTCGGAGTTAGCAGCATGCTAACAGTGTGTAGCTACTAATCGGTAGCGCAACGCCTGTGCGCACTCACCAAGAGGAGTAGCCTTGCTCCGCCATATCGCCGAAAACACTGGGCTCCGCGGCTTCGGCTAACAGATTCAGGTCCGGGTGTCAACCCGTTGGGACCTGGGAGAGGATTTCTGCTTTTCCTTCGCAATCCGCCGTCCTAGCAGTCACTTCTAGGTGGCAACATGATGATACATTCCGGGGAGCAGCTAGTGATCACTAGCTGAATTTCTCGGCGATTGAAACGAATGATGGTTTGCTATCGTTTGGTGGACAAGACAAAGCACCCCCCCCTAAAGAAAAGAAAACAAAACAAAAAAAACATGTAATTTTTCTCGTCGGCTTCACTAATGTCCTGCCGTCACCCCCAGCCAGGAAGGCTCGGTCCGCAACGATGCTACACCCACTGTAAATCCATATTCAGTCCGATGTAGCCAGAGTAAATTCGGAAATTCCTCACGTCTGCACCGCTGGCTGATATGGAAGACGTTCAGCTTTGTTTTCTATAGCGAGTCCTCGCGAACGCGCACAATCACCCTGCCGTAGGTTTGCACGGGGACGCGCTCTAAACGCTGTCATGCACTGAAAACATGGCAATTATTTCCTTTTTACCCGCCAGCACTGCAGCCTGTCGCGCTCATACCCCCACCCCACTGAAGCCCGAATATTACGTAGACTGCAAAATACATTATTAAATAAGGTAATTTAGACTCAGAGCAGATATTTCATTACAGATAGATGGTGTCAAAGGTTCAAGTTTCAAACTTGAATCACCACTGAACTAAACTTGAATCATTTTTAACACATATAGAATTAGAACCATACAACAAAATTATTTCTAGTTGTTTTTAATTGATTTTTAAAATTATTTTAATTGATTTTTAATTGGGGCAGCACGGTGGCGCAACTGGCAGAGCCGCTGCCTCCCAACAGCAGGTCCCTGGTTCAAACCCTGGTCCAGGGGCCTTTCTGTGTGGAGTTTGCATGTTCTCTCCGTGCATGCGTGGGTTTTCTCCTCGTGCTCCGGTTTCCTCCCACATACCAAACACATGCATGTTAGGTTGATTGGTAACTCTAAATTGTCCCTAGGTGTGAGTGAGAAAGTGAATGGTTGTTTGTCTCATTTGTCTCAATGTGGCCCTGTGATGGTCTTGCGACCTGTCCAGGGTGTACACCGCCCCTCGCACAGTGATTGCTGGACATGGGCACCAGCGACCCCCGTGACCCAAAATGGAATAAGCGGGTAAAGATAATGGATGGATGGATGGATTTTTAATTGATTTAATTGAACCCTGCAGATGTTGGATGCTGTCTATCATGGTGCACTAAGATTCATAACCGGCTGTGATTATCGTACTCACAACTGCACCCTGTATTCAGTGGTTAACTGGACATCATTAACTTCACGCAGACTCTCCCACTGGTACATTTTCATCTTTAAATCACTTCTTGGTCTGCTGCCTTCATACATCTCCTCCTACATGTCTCTGCGTGAGTGCAGCTACGGCGTGCACTCTCAGGACATTATTACCTGCAGTGTTCCCTCAATGAGGACTGAACTAGACAAAAGGGCCTTCTACTCCGCTCCTGTTTCCTGGAATACCTTACAAAAACAAGTGAAGCTCTCCACCTTGACCTCTCTAAGTGGCTTTAAGAATCTGTTGGACTCCTGGCAGGGACCAATTCAGATATGTTCCTGTTTTTAGTTTTCTACATTCGCCTTAGAATCTAGCTGTTTTTTTTTGTTACCTTTTTCTTTTAGCCATCCTATTTGTTATTATAAAAAAAACTGTAGTATGACTTTTTATAACTGTTTATTGTTGTCGCTGTTGTCCATTGTTGTCATCATTCTTTGTTGAAATCAGGTCTCTCTTGTAAATGAGTCATCAAGGCTCAATGGGATTGACCTGTCTAAATAAAGGTTGAACGAATGAATTAATTTTTGGAGTCACTTGTATTGAAGTGTACACGTTTCACAGTTTTGCACAAAGCTGGCAGGAATGCAATGCTATGATTTTCCAAATCTAAGCTCTAAAGCTTGGAGGAATGCATATCACCCACCACCTGTCATCCCTCAGTTGTGATTATCTAACTATCTTATGATAAGAAGGGATGGAGTTGCTGTTTTGGTAAAACCTTGAAATAAATGTGCCAAATCTCAAGTAATATCACAATATGTCCCGCTCAGAGTATGTGTTGTGAATAACTACCAAGTCATATTTTAACTCAATATGTGTCAATCAGCTGTGGCAGCCATCGTAAATTTAGATACTCCAAATGTAATCAGCTGTAGATGTACATCAAAGAATTACTTTAGGAGAATTTCATAAAAATCTGCCCTCTGGTTTATGAAATATTTTGACATCCATACAGACAAACTAACACTCACTGAGATAAGGGCAAACATATTATTGCCTTCAGCCGCAGAACTTTGGTTTTACCAGCTGCACAAAGGCAGGAATCTTGTCCAATTATATTCAGGTGTATAACTAACCAGTTATACCAAGCAAATTTGATTGATAGTCATTTGTATGTGCAGGTTGAAGCACGGACTGAGACTGAAACAGTTGTAGGAGGTCTAAAACTGGTCAAGGAACCTTCAGAATCAAGGTGAGGTTGTAGACGATGGTTTCGTGTTGCAGGTCAGACACTGCGGGAGTGCAGCGGCAAGACATAAGATTCCAGCAACATTTCTAAGCAGATCAGGGCTGTGAAATGTGCTGTTTAGTTTGAAGAAGCACAAAGAAACATGCAGCGCTGAGGACTCAGTGGATGGCCAAAGAAAACACAGAGCTGCAAATGAAAGACATCATGCGTATACGTCCTTTTGAAATCTAAGATCTTTCCCTGTGTCATCAGTGACCCAGGTATGTCAGAAGTCTGGTCAGAAGTGATATTTATAGAAAAGCTGGTGTCAAGAGCACAAACCTCAGTCATGGAAACTAAGACCAAAAACCAGAAAATGTCATTAGGTTCTCTGCACTGATCAGTCGATGTGTGAAACTCTTGTCTGTGGCAGAAAGTGCTTTGTGCACAATAACAGATCTGCAGGCAGCAGTAAAGAACGGTGAAAGGTCCTTACAGGTTTGTCTGCACACAAACAGATATAACCAAACATTCTTTGAGCAAATGCATATCACCCACCAGGGTTTTAGACTAAAATCATATTATGTTGAAAAAAATGACAGCATTCTGATCAGTTTGATCAAATCTTGAAACTATTTCATTCATTCAACCTTTATTTAAACAGGTTAGACCCATTGAGCCACGAGGACTCATTTACAAGAGAGAGAGAGAAATATGCTCAATAAAGCAAAATGTCACACTCAACTCACATCATGTGAATAAATCTCAGTCCTACCACAACAAATTTTGGCACGATTTTTGCTAAACTGACTGAATTTAGACTCATTTTGTCTTTTTGTGTGTATTGCCTGACTCATTGTAAGATGCCAATAAAACAGAATGCAGTGGGCAAATGACAACATTTATTAACAGATTTGTTCAAATATATTCATGATATTTTGTAAAATGTTGTACAGATTAGTGTAGATGATACAGACTATTGACACTTTACATCTTTCACCACCAAGATGCCATTTTAAAAATATTAATAAAACATATTTTCTTTATTTTTTTTTTAACCATTTTTTATTAACTGACTTAAGTCCAGTTTTAGAGTGCAACGTCACGGAAAAATGTAATTGTCAATAAAGTCAGAGCGCACAAACTTCTTTCCTGTTCGTATTAGCTTTAATTTGCTGTTTTGATAATTCTATAGTATTGATTAAATGATTTTATAAGAAGAACGCTGATTGTGTTTTTTCTTTCCCATTAGTGGTAGTTTAATGTGCTGAATGTATTTGTTGGCAATCTGCCTATTAAAGTTTTATGTCCTCAAGTGGATATTCTGGCTTAATGGTGGTAGAGGAAGACAGATCACAATGTCACCAACATTCTTCCAGGATGTGGGGCATAAAACTCAACAGAAAACCTAACAATAAAGGAGATCTGTTGCAAAAATAAAAAAAATTAAAAAGATTAGGGGTTGCGGTAGCTCATGGGTCAGTGCCACAGTTCTGAGCCCAGGTTGTCTCACATAAAACAATTGCCAAACCTTCATGCTTGTATTAGGGGACGGTTGCCAAAATGGGTACGTAGTAATTCAAAGCGGGCACTGTGTGGACAACAAAACCACAGCTAAGAATACAGTTTTGCAAGCTGTGCACACAAAAGTAAGCTGTCATTTTCTAAAATTACACAGCTTGCTGGTCACTTGTAGTTCAGTTAGACTGCAACTGAACATTTACTTATTTTTTCACAATATTAATTCAGGTCGCAAAACTGTCTCCAACAGTTTCAGCTCCATGAGGGACAACCTCAAGTCTGTGTTGTGTATAAAGAGGCCAATCTGGTTTACGCAGACGGTCAGAGGGATTCCCTCAATCCAGAGAGTGTGGGGGATTACCAACATTTGCAGGGAGCTTATTTTCTTGCAGATTATGCACAATCTGTTATCAGCAACACCCACATTCAAGGGCCCTGTAACAAACAGAATCAAGCAATATAATATCAATATTAACCAACATACTTCTGGAGCATCAGTCAACCTTTTCTTAGTTGCACCGTGCAGCAAAACGAGTCCTTCATGATGTTTAAAGACATTCAAGCCTTTCTGCTTTTTAAGGTGAATGGTAGTCGGTTAACTGCTTCATGGACAATCAGAAAATTTCTCCTTTCCTTACCTTTTTGTGATCAGGAGGCAAAACAAATCTCTAAAAGATGTTATGAAGTGAAACCTAACTATTCATTATGACGTTTTATAAAATTGAAAGGGTTCTTTGTAATCACAAGCCTTACACTTGTCACAGTTGCCTTAGATGGGACAAAAGCCTCTAACTTACCGTAAGTCATTTACTGCACATGATAATCATGCTAACTATGTTGTTCTTGGCCTAGAAAATAAAAGTCTTGGAAGAACACAGGTCTGATGAAAGCCTTATTTAGGCTCTTTGAAGCTACAGGAAAAAAAAATCTAAATGTAAAGTGTGAGTAATTCTTGCATCTGTTCACAGAAGAGTTTATATGCAAACTGTACAATTAAAAAGAGCCGAGTTCAAATTTTACGTTGCCAGAATGTTACAGACTGAATTGTTTAGATTGAAAATTTATTTTGGCTTTTAATGTGTCCGAAAGGTAAATCTTTAGGCAGTTTGCACAGAGAAAAATTATTAGGCCTCAAATGCTGTCAAACTTTTAAAATTTTGATTTTAGTCGTCGCAAATTTCTGTCAGTTTCAAATCACAAATAAAAGAAAAAAATGTTTCCAGTGCGGCCATAAAAAATAAAATATAAACTGAGGCTGCATTTTCTGCCAGTTGTAGTTTTGCATTTTGAGCTAAGCTGATTTCAGTCCATGCCTACATTTTGTTTTTCAAGCCGGACTCCAACCCTCAGGTTTAAAAATC